GCGTGTGGTGTCACTGAAGACATAATCTTTCAAGCTTGTAAACCCTTACTATAACAGCTTTGGGATAAGTGACGAAGTGTCTTGATAAACAATAAAAAAAGCCTGAGAAACTAGAGGCTAGAGCAATGCGTTCGGTTTATTTCACTTCTGATGAGCTTTTCATTTTTAAGGTGTGTGATCAATCTATGTCGAATAATTTGTTTTTCAAATATAAAAAATCGTTGAACAGGCCAAGTTGCTAGGGCCGTAGCTTTGACAAATGAATCTGACACGACAACTGCCTTCTTGCAGAATGTTTTTTGTCCCTTGATCCCTCCCCTCCAACCTCGCCAGTCGCAGGGAGATTTAGGAACTTCTCTTCCTGCCCTATCTATATCCCTGTGATGTTAACACTTGAAAGGAAGTAATTTCTAGGTTGTGAAGGCAAGCTCTGGAGTGGCCAGTCAGAGGGTAACCTCCTTGTCTTCCTTTTTATTTCTACCTTGCACGCGACCGAGCACGTGCACTTTTTTTTTGTTGTTCCTCTGGTCCATATGCGCAACAATATATGCCTTTTACTCTCATTTCACAGCCACAGACTTCACAAGTTCTCAGACTTGTGCTCCTCTATGGTGTCCTCATGATTGCTCCTCATGATTGCTATGGTGTGTATCATGATTTGCTCCTTGATAGGCTTGTGCAAAGAGTGAATTTTAGGTTCGAAGTGAATAGTGATTTTGGTCGAATGATTCTGAATCGAATTCGAATAGTATACACCTATTCGAGACAGACATATTATATAGCGAGACAGACAAGATGGGTGTTGTGGGTGTCTCACTCACTACAATGACGCAGTTCAACAACTGAACCTTGCGGCTGAAGCCACCTGTACCTGTCCTTGCAGTGTCGTATGCGGCAGCGGGGGCTTCTCCACCCAGGAGACGCCGTCCACGCTTTCCTTGGCGATGGCTGGAGTCACCACCCCGAACCACCTGCTTCAGCTGACCATCAGATCATCCAAGTGGACAATGCCCATGCCTCCCTGGCGGGGGTACCAGGTGGCACGACCTAATAGACACCATGCTACAAACTTCGCCGCAGGAATATGCCGGGCTCCTCTCCTTTGGAATAACGTCCATGCTTCCCGTGGGCCTGTGTTCCGTTCCCGGTACTTTGCCCACATTACGAGCCAGCAAGAAAAGTCATCCAGCTTACTTGCAATGGATCTCAACAAAGTGCGTGCTGAAACGCTGCATACTCGGAGACCGCGATCACAGACTCTTCGGCTTCTCACCCGACAGCGTCGCAACCTGTGGCATACCATCCCATAACTCTGCATGAGACTAACGAACTAACAGCATCAATCACTGAGTGAGCTCCTCCCATGTGCCAGCATCGCATGCCAATAACACAGCCGCCTCACCTCCTATTTAGCTCCTCCCATGTTGCCAGCCCACCCGAGCAACTTTGAGAGCTTTGATTTTCTGTCATCCAGCTCTCACACCAGCTGGGTTGCTTCGTGCCGATGAGCTTTGCATTGCCACCTGCCACCCCACCATCACCAGCCTTCTACGGACTACGGGAATTACATGGGCTCCAGAAGAATGCCGACAGCTGGGCGGCAATAGTCAACACGCTAGCAGTTCGTGAGGTCTGGATAGAGTCTTAGAGATGGTTTATAGCCATCGAACACTTTTGAAAATGGCGCTGCGGGCGTGGCAACGGTATGAAGGCATGTGCGGTAGCAGGTCCTGGGTAGAGTGGAAGCAATAAGCTCCATAGCTGCCTTTGGACAGACACTATGACCATGCTGCTACCATACAGTCTACCGCTGACCGCAACCGAGGATGGAGCTCAGGAGGAGCACTACCTCGAGACTGCAACTGTGGCATTCCAGCTCACCTTTAGAGAGTGTCGCAACCTGCCAGGGACACAAACACAACTGAGCCCCTTTTTCATGATTTCAGACCACATCTCATTCAGCAGCCATTAGAGAAGCGATTCTGAAGCTCGCCATCAGATGAGCATGCCCCTGCTACCATTTTGCACAGTGACAGTCAGAGGAGCGGTCTTCACTTCTAGCACAGTCACACCGGCAATCTGACCTGCCTGTGAATTCCAGGAAAGAGGAGCTGGTCATGCAAAAGCATGGTCCTCAGCTGTTAATGCAGCTATTGGCCTGCATGTGCAGACTCTCAGCTACTGTTGAGTGACACACCGCTTAAAGAAGTCAAAGGCGACAGACGATGCCACATCCGTCAAGGATCAGCCCCTTTCATTCGGCTGGGTATCATTGCATGACTGAGCTTACACCTCAGCCAGAAGTATGATATACATCAGCCCTGCCCCCTACCTATGTGAGCTTATTCCCTACCAGAACCAGCTCATTCAGACTGCCACTGAAAGGAATGTGGACAACGACAGAAGTGCTTTGTTGCACCGTATCCGTCACTGGTTGATCGGGCAGCGACAATGTTCGAAGGGAGAAACAGTGAGATCGAGATGGCTTTGGACAAACTGCAAATAATCTATATATATCATGACCTAACGAATCTGCACAATATATTTTACAAATTATAAATTATGCCTCTGTAAAATGCTTTTTTTTTTTTCAGTTCAAAGGCAGCTTAAACAATTTCCAGTAGTCGCAGCAGTTTAGGCTTTCGGCAGAATGCTAGTGGATGACCTGTAAAATAGGTAAGAGTGAAAATTCACTATCCTTAGAGCTTATAAACTGGCATACCAAGCTTTTAACTTAAAAAACTTATGAATCAATTTGAGGGTAATATATTAATTTAAGGAGCCCTGCAACACTTTTTCATGTAGCCATAAAATGTATTCACTAAAGGAGCTTTATTGCCTCATGAGTTCATAGCTGCAAAAAGTTTTTAGATTCTGTCCGGTATCGAGTGGAGGTTACAAAGATTTGCACACACTGCGATTGCATTTTCTTTTCTCTCATCCTGACAAAAGCACTGGAAGCTAAGCAGAGAGGGTTGGCATGGGTAAAGAAATACATCACACGCACCTCATGACCTTGAGCCCTCTTTCTCTTTTTTTTTTTCTTCGAATATGCGGCCTTTTCGTGCAATTGCGCATGCACGTATAAACAAGTTCGCGGCCTCCCATGGTGACTTACGAAACGACTGAGCAAGGCCTTGCTCAATCACTCAATGGCTAATACAATGGCTGCGACAAGCAGTTTTTAAGCTTGTAGCATCACTTGTCGAGCGAAGAGTAAGCAAATTTTGGCTGACTTTGAAAATTTATTGTGAATGCAGGCCTGCATGCTGCGCTATAATAACTTGCCTCGCGTGTTCTTGGTAGCCTCGAATAACGATCAGCAGCATTATTCTGACTCCTGCTCAAAAAGTGTTGCAGGGTCTCGTTTAACTTTACAACAATGCCGATTTCCCTGAAATAAATATGTGCTTTCATGGCTTAGCACCAGTGCACTGCAGTGAAACCACCTCTACAAAGTGTTACATGCGAACTAATATACATTTATTCGTTCGTTGAGAATACTTTGAAACTTTGATAATTTAAATTCGAATTGAAGCCGAATTCGAATACTCTACTATTCATTCAAATATTCAAAGCATTTGAATATTCGCACAAGCCTACTCCTTAATGAACACACTGCCAAAGGAAGGTGCTCGATACTTGACATGGTCCTGTACACTGCATGCATAGGCAGCAATGCATAAAAAAATACGCAGGACTTGCACAAGTACAGCCCTATGGTCGCTCCAAAAGTGTGTAGCATGGCTGCCCAGAGCATATCTCACTTCAAGGCATGTCATGAAGGCTTTCGTGCTTCAATACTATGCTCACTGTGTTCCTTCCATAAATCTGCACAATCCATACCTCCTTGTGCCTCCTTTGCCGTGACAGGTATCACCAGACGTTCATTGCAAATGAATTGTTCTTTTAGAATTCTGGGTACAACCGCTCCTTTAATACACTACTTGAATGCTCCTATGGGAGAAAGCATGCGTGCACTGTAGTACGCTCGTATTATCATACCCTTGTCCCAGTGGCACTTAAAAAGTCTTCTTCAGACAGACCTTCTCCCTACAAGGAGATCTTGACAGCAGACACAGAGCAGAGAAGTGACTTCTTTTGAAAAGCAGTCTTTTCGGTTTTTATTAATACCTTTTTTGCTGTGTAGAATGAGTAGCCTGGGCGTCAGCCATTTCCAAGTCAAGGAAAAAAAAAAAGTGTATGCTTGTTTTTTCTGTCATCAAGGCTCTTCATAAAAACCAATTTCATACCCTGCAGAAGATATATGAACCCTTTACATGGTTATTTCCTTTTCTACTGTCTTGAGCAATCTAGAACAGAATTGGAGACATCACGTGGTGATGCTCCCCCTTCGGCCGTTTGGCACAAGCAGGAAAGGCGTGGCTAAGGCAGTCACGTGTGTACTCGGTAAATCCAGTAGTCTGAGCGTCTATGGTCAACCCCGGGGGGACCGAGCAGCCGACAGCGCCCGAAAAAAGCAGCGTCTGCAATTGGTAGGAAGGTTGGGCACCTGAGCTTAATCAGACAATGGGAACCGTGACCTGGACTCATTACACACACTGAAGCACAACGTGCGAAGTGTACGCCAGCAGCGTCCGCCTGCGCTTTCCCAGCGAGAATGCAGGCCATTAAGACTTTGCGATTCTCGCTTTTTTCTTAGTATGATCGCCCATAACATGTCGAGAGCACCAAAACACAAATATAATAAATAAAGCACAGTAAGTGCCAGACGGACATGTACACGAAACTAGTTATAAAATGCTTCCTTAAATAATGCAACAAACCTTCACACTTGGGTTTCATCAATCTGTTATTCTTAAAGTGATTGGCCAGAAACAAGCAAACAACAAGTTTTACTTTTTGTATACCGCTACCTTTTTTATTTTCATGGCTTCTCTTTGACTGCTAGCGTCACACTCCAGTAGAAGTCTTCGAGCGTAAAAAAACTAAAAGGAGATTGTTGATGCCATGCGCCTGTGCCACAACGCCTTTTCCTCAAGTCTTTCAACTTCGTAAAAGACCACTTATGCAAGACTTTTTGCACACCCTTGTGACACAGGCATTAGGTAACAGCTGAGATGACCCTGCTATTTGCCTAGTGGTTGATACTCCTGCAAGTATGACTATGGTATGCAGATAGGGTTTTAGCTTACCCTGCTGGCAGGTGCAGATGAAAAGAGGCCTAAAGACCTTGCTGAAAACAAGGCTAGATGTTTTTTTGGGGCTGCTCTTCCAGCATGGCACCCACGATAGCACATGTGACTCGAAAGATGATCTTGTCCATTATAGAGCCTTGTGGCCGAAATAGAAGCTGGACCACCTGTAATGATTGCATGTAATATCAGTCAGTCAAATTGCAAGCATTTCTATACAAGATTAAACCATGTTAACAACTAATCTTGATTAAAACGTCTGAAAGGCCCACTTCACAAAAATACTAAATAAGTTGAGACAAACAGGCTATTTTTAAAAGCTTCCCAAGCACTTGTTCTGGAGAAAAGAATAAAGTAAGACAGATATTGTTCACACTCCACCTAAGTCGCACTGGAAAGAGTTGTAGGCTCTTAGCACTCGCACTCACTGAAAGTGCTTTTGCAAATATCCAAGGCATTGTACCTCAATGCTTAGATGCTGAGACCACAATAAATGCATGTAGAAACACAAGGACTGCCAATCCACTTTATCCACAAGGACTGCAATCCAGTTTACTGGCACCTGAAGGGAAGCGAAGGAAATGTATGCCCTCAAATCTTTCCACCAGGCAAGAAACACATGCTAGTGTTTAAGGCGGAACTTTACCAGCCGACATGTATCGTCGCTAACGTTCTTGTTTCTCGCATTCAGGGTCACTGCCCAAACATTGATGAGCTCGTTGCTTCCTATGAATCACCCCCCTGAAGTATGCTGCCTACACGTATTGCTAGGTAGTTCATGTCTTGAGTAGATCAGCACCTTTCTTAAGACTAGACGGTCGCGCCAAAACGCCGTACTGTATAACACTTGATTGATTATTTCTCGAAAGGTGACGCTGCTCCCAGTGCACACTTGACAACTGGCGAAAATGAGGATGCCGCTTGTCACAGGTAGGCAGCTTCATCTAAGTAACGTGCCAGTGGCTAGCCTTGAAGAGCACTTCAGGCTTTGCAGTATTTCTGGCCTTTTCTGGACTATTTAATAGACCAGTCAAAAGAGAGCTTTAAAGCATCAGCCCACCTTGAAGATGCTTTCTTCGCTTTTGCCACAGAATATTCTCGAATCTGCCACTCTTCCCACTGCCGAAAAGTTTGCTGACGTGTACTCGAACATCATCTCAACTTCGGCATGGCAAGGGGAGTTAGCAGTATGGGCTGCGAAATGGAAGCGAGAGAAGCGAGAAACGCTGAGCAGGTATGTGATGCAAGCAGTTGGCAAATGCCCAGAGTATTCTTCCCAAAGGTGAACCCCCTTCTAAAGAATGTGAGAACTCTGCCGGTGAGCACAGCTGAAGCAAACGGTTTTTTTAATCGCTGAGGCACCTAAAGTTGTACCTGAGGGCTACAACAACAAATGAAAGATTGTTTGGCATCGCTCTCTGAACATTCACCATGAAATACGAGTCCACCCGGAAGACATTCTCTCTGTTCTTTACAGGAACGTTGACGGCTTCAGCTGAATGTGTGTGTGTAATATCAACCATAGGTGCCTGCTAAAAATCAAGGAAGAAAGTCAACTAAAATTAATCGTGGATTGAGATTTTCTGGAAAACAGAAGTAAAAACATAGTTGTTGATGATCAAGTGATGGAGTTTAACAACCCAAACCTACGATATGATTAAGAGACGCTGTAGTCGGGCGCTCTGGAAACTTTACCACTTTGGTTCTTTAACATGCACCTAAACCAAAGCGCACGAGCTTCAAGCATTTTCGCCTACAACGAAAATACCACAGGGATGCAGTCCCGATACCTGCGGGTCAGCAATGGAGCACCATAACCACTGGACCACCCTGGCGGGTAGTAAAAAAAGACGGTTTTGGTAAAGTCAGAATGCGCAACTTTTCGTCCAGCTGTAAGGAAGCAAGTTCAACTGTATAAGACATGTTGCTGAAAATCACTCTGACAGCATGACAAAGTGATCCAGTTCTCTCTCTTTGCCTACTTATTGCATTTCAGTGGCTCCTTTCACTTACAGACGCGGTTAGCGGATACAAAATGGTCAACTAGCCAAATTTGCATGTGGCAATTCTCACAAATTTTGGGTAACATATGGGGCATTTATTATGACATGTAACGTGCAGGATAATCTTCGTGTAAACTGAAAAAAGATAATCAACAGCATTGCGCTATGTGATATGTCTGTTTGCTGCGTGAGACATTGCTTGCACAGGGTCTCTTTCATTTATTGTACAGAAATATAGTTGCTATGTATATTGCTTGTAATTTTACGCGATAACATGCTTACTCATGTTTCTTCATTCTGTGCATTTCTTGTCCAGCGTCATGTCACTAGTTGCAGAAATTGCTCGGCGTGCCCTTTTAGTCATGTCAATGTAAAGAAACGAGCAGATGAAGCAAATCAATATATATTATTTGTCGTATATTTTTTCAGTTTAATGTTCTTTATTCTTGCGCTGTTTGCCACAGTGCTGAACAATAAAGCTTGTGCTCCCTACAGCTGCCTACACTGTATTTTCCATTACGCTGCTTTAGGGTTACGACCACCATCTTGTTATTTATGAGCCTAAGTTACACGAGTCTGTTTTAAGGCTCTGGTTAGCCTGCACGTTTATAATATATATATATATATATCATACCGACGAACTATCTGCTCATAGAAAGAGTCCCAGAACAGATGTAGATGTAGGGTTGGTTTCACATGCGTCCCTTTCATCTCCTAGTGGGCGCGTGCCTGGTCCTTGCAACGGGCGTTTTGTTGATTCGCCACACATCACTTGCATGTTATACACGCGCGAGTGACTTTGGCAGAATGCCTATGTGTTGTGTACCACTCGGTGATTGTCAGAGCAGCTTTGCTGCACTATGTGTATGCGTGTATCTGAAATCGCCTGCCTTTATGTTTCTCTCTCTCACCCTCTCTTCCCTTTCCACTTCGTTGAAGTTATGAAATCGTCAGCAGCAAGGTATAGCCACCCTTCCTACATTCATTTTTCGATATATATAATATATATATATATATATATATATATATATATATATATATATATATATACTGTACACTCGCATACAAGCCATTTTTTCATTCATAACGAAAATAATTACATGAGAAAAGCATTGTTCAGCTGCGCTGCTTGACAAGGCATGGACCCCGCAAATAGGCGTCACAGCACAGTGGCCAATGGCGGTCCCTTGATCCGTACCACGTGATAAGCCAGTCGCAGCGCTCGAAAAACGTGCAGAAGCGTGCTTCTTTTTGTTATTTCTTGTGCTGCATTAGCGAGAGAAACTGTTCTTGACTCTTCAGCTCATGCTATCAACAATGGCGAGCGGGGGCGTATTATCGGCGGCAAGGTGCTCGAAGAATGCACACCTTGGACCTTTTAACAGGCACCTTGTGCTCTTTAGATGCAATTTTAAAGCATTTCCAGTTAAGTCTCGACCTGTATTTTTTTCATAACAGTAGAGGTACTAACCTTATCAAAACAGGCAAAAATAAAAAAAATTGGTAATTTTGAAAAAACTCGCATTTTTCGACCCGCATCTCCCCTTAAAGAAGTCAAAGCGACAGATGATGCCACATCCGTCAAAGATCAGCCTATTTCATTTGGTGGGTATCACTGCATGACTGCCTAGCAAAAATTCTGACAGAAAAACTGATAGGCTATCAGGTTATTGACAGTTGTATCAGTCTATAGGTGTATCAGTCTATGAGTGTATCAGTCTATCAGTGTACCAGTCTATCAGTGTACCAGTCTATCAGTGTAATAGTCTATCAGTGTACCAGTCTATCAGTGTACCAGTACTCGTGTGCCAGCCTATAAGTGTAGCATTCTACTCTGATAGGTCCACAAGCGAATCGGTGCTTAGCCAACTGGCAGGTGCACCGCTACATCAGAGCAAGCAGGACACAAATATGAACACAGAAATCAAACAAAATATTTTATTTGATGTGCCATTCCTTGGTTAATCTTTTGATTTCATAAAGTCAATAATTTTGTTTGCCAAAGCTTTATTGAGGAGCTTCTTCATTTGTTCAACCTTTCCAATCAGAACGGTGTGCTTCAAAAAAATGGTTGAAGAAATCTGCATGATCAAAAACAAAGCAAGTTACAGGCACTAATTAAGCGACAATTATGTGCACTCTAAATAGGGGAGTCAATATGACAAGGAAATAATTAGGAGTGCTACCAGTCTGCCTCTCTAATATTGTTTAAAATTAGTTTGTGGATTCTTGCATAAAAGTACCCAGCTCCAGTAGGCAAAAGCACACTTGAAGCTTTAGTAAATAATTATAACACAAGTTGACAGTGAAACCTCGGCTGATTACGTGCAAAAATGGAGCCACCAACTTCCATGAATTTCGGTCAGATTGCAAAATTTCACCTACCTGAAAATACAGCATATGTTTCTTTCTCCTAGGGAGATTTCGCCTCCCCTTTAGACCGATTGGAGGCTGCACCAGTAACACTTCTACCGACTTGGCCTGCTGTATGAAAAATGGTAACGGCCGCCTCACGAACAAAATGGGTCTGTCTTTTCAAGCCCACGGGGTGATTGTACAACCTCTTGGGAACGGCAATTCCTTTGCTCCGATGCACCTATAAAACAAGTCCAAGATGATGTGCACACATTAGTTTGTCAATGCACATTTTCTCATTAAAAAGCAAAACAATATATCTTCAAGACAAAGCATACCAGAGGTTTATGATACCTCTCTGTCAGTGGGCACATAATTGATAAGCGGTGCAGCCTCCCTCACACTTGAGTGGGCTACTTCAGGGCTGTTCGTGGTCGCTGTGGTGGTTCCAGCGTAGCAGCACATAGTGGTGGCAAAGGTGGCAAGTCGCCTCTGTTTTTGAGGGCTTGTGCTGCAACACCCGCAAAGGGACAAGGTTCTTTGCTGCAATGAAAAAGTGAGTGTGCAGAAATAAAGTATATTGCACCCTTTAATTGTCACGGTAGCAGCCTAGGTTTGCATGGTCAAATAATATATTGATAAACATAGCATGCAATTGAGATATGCAATTAAAGTGTAATGATACGTTGCATGTCACGTCTCCAAAACCATGGTTGATTATAGGGGATGCCGTAGTGGAGGGCTCAAGAAATTTTGACCAAATGGTGTTTCTTTTTAATATCCACCACACTGTGAAAGTTGTAAAAGCACATTTTTACGTGATTAGAAAAACATGCATGCATCCATGCCGCCCATGAGCTTACATTGCATTCTGCTTTTCATCAAAATTGCAACGCTTTAAGAATAGGGCATCTTGCTGCTGCATACAACCCTAGCAGCAGTGCGTTACACAGCTTATGAAGAAATGATAAACCTGTTTGGAAATTTTTGCTGCGAAGGGCATTTTTCATTAGGCTTATTCTTTCTAATGCTTTTGTATTTTGAGCCCTCAGTATATATATTCACTTCTTTCAGAAGCTCTTTCTCTGTTCTTTTTTTCAGCATTAGCAAACAGCAGGCCTCCCTGCTGCTTCTTAAAAGGGTTGCTGACGTGCTTTGTCTTCTGCTTAACAGCAGCTTGACGTCGTGTTTCTTACAACCGCAGACAACCCGGCACACAAATTTCACTGCTAGTTCGCAAGCACAAGCAGGGCGTATATCCGCACAAGCAAAAATAATTTTAAACCAGTCAATTGTAAAAAAAAAAAAATGCGACTAAGCTGCGCTCATACCACAATAGAATAAAATAAAATAGCTCTTCAGCATACTGCAACTTTACCAACACCTTCAATACGACGTTCCGGCGCCCGCGCAGTAGCGGAGCAGCGATGCTCTGATATATTCGCTTGGGGGGGGGGGGGGGGGGGGAGTATATCAGAGCATTGGTGCTTCATGTGTGACACGGCACCACGTGCAGAGCAAAATTGGCTGTCGATTGTAATTGCGCCGCAGTAGCACATCAGCCGCAACGTCAACGATAGCCAAACTTGGCTGTCGGTAATAATTACGCTGCAAGTAGCATATCAGCTGCAGTGTGACCAATTGCAACTTACTTTTTAAACGACTCATTGTCCACTTCATTTTAACTGCAGCCATCGGAGGAGTCGCAATCGGGTCTGCGTAATGGATGGTCGTTTTTTCTGTTGCATTCCTTGCATCATCCTCGGTGCCTAAGAAAATATGACCAGTAAATACCTTCAGAACGACTGCTTCTTCCTCTTTGTTTTCGTATTGGAAATACAAGGGGCACGGACTTACCGTAAAGCTTAATCACTTGAGCGTGATAGTGGCCGCAGTGTGTGTTATCCTTCCAGAACACCCGGTACCACTTGTGAGGATCAAAATTGCCTGTATCCTTCGGATTGATGTACTTACATGCACTTACCGGGACTATTAATTTTTAATTATCATCGCGAAACCAAACATCTTGGAGAATTGCCAGTGTACAGGCGCGATACTGAGCAATTAAGAGACGCAACAATGTTCACATGCACACACACGCACCAAGGCCGCCACGAACTTGCTATTGATGACGATGGCGGTGCCATTTGTAGATCTCCGTAGTACTTTATGCAACCACGAGTCCACGACTTCTTCCTCAACACAACGCAATTTAGTTTTTTAAAACAAAAATATTTATTTGTGAAACATTTAATTCATGTTTTTACAACCTTAGAGGGTAGTTTTTTTAGAGCTCACAGCAAATAATATATAAACAATGAATGCAGTTACTGTAAAAAGGTGACGCTGTGCATAGCCTCCGAAATGGCAAACGCGCAATGACGGGCGCGCCGCGGCAATTTCAGAGGTCATGCGCTGTGTCGCCATATTCGCGTTGGTTAGGCTAGGTGGCGTTAGCCGTCACCCAATTTAAAGGGTACAGCCGTATTAATCCATCCATTCATTTATCTATCACATTTATATGGCTACAATCATCTAGCCATAATGGCAGTCAGCGACCACCATGGCGGCGACCACCTTCCTCCGTGGCGACCACAGTACAATACACTTTCACCACGCGAGGGGTTCTGTAGAGTCACTACCTCGCGCCGTGATCTCGCGGCACATGTTATAGTTTACGACAAAATCCGCGCCGCGAGCTTAACATTCAAGGCACAGCAAGCAGGTTGTGAATGTGAAGGCTTGGTCGATGTAATCGATCTTTACCCGTTTACTTATTATCAGTCCCGCAGCCTCACTTTTCGTGGACACCATCAAGCGCGCTACTTGAAGTTTGCGTCAAGTTCGACGAGAGATGGATTCAACTCAACCCCTGCCTCGATCAAAAAGAAGAAAAAAAAAACGCTATTTGGAGCCTGGATCGCAATATGTAGTACCTCGGACAAGGAGCGGTGGGGGCGCCCAGTCGGCCAACCAGCTACACTCAGCAAGAGCATTCCTCAGTCTTTAGCTCGTAATTGATTTTCTGGAGTAGCGGCCTTCGACACGTGAAGTCTGAGTGATGCGCATGGTGACAGCAATGAAAATCTGATCCCGACGACACTTACGGCTTCGAGGAAAACTCGCTCAGCGATTCCGACCGGACTGCAGATGCGGCTCGCGACAATGGTTGGCATGAGCGACACTTTTAAATGCAACAAGGCATGTATTTTACACTGGTGCATGTCAATAAACGCCAGGCTCTGTGTGTGTGCTCATGTGTGTGAGGCTTACATCAAAACTATTCAAGAACCATCTCACATTGGTATTTGCTCAGAAACAGAGAAAAAGTTGTGCTTGAAGGATGTGGCCAGTGTATTTGCACATGAAAGTTGGATGTGTTTGCTATGTTGCTGATGTACCAAACTTGTTTAAACTTGTGACATATATAGCCAGTCTAATATGAGTTTAGCAAGGTAGGACAACTAAATGTTGGCTCGATCCTTCTATTGAGTTTCTCTTCACAACTGAACTTTTCTCATGGTAGGCAGTTTCTTGTGTGTGTGGTGTGTGGCGTGTGTTTGCAGTCAAATGTTTAGCCTAATTAGTGCATGGGTTTTGATTATCAATCTTGTGAGGATTAAGGCAAGTAATATAGCAGGTCTGTGCCACCGCTTGGGCTTGTGAAAAGACACACTGTGAATAACAGATGCTGCTATCAACATATCAGCCAATCTTGCAGCTGCAAGTGACTTTTTCATATAGATGACTGTGCTCACTTCGAATTTCGGATGCCTGTATGTGGTGTAAAACAACTGAAAGCATGCTATTGCCTATAGCCAAAATAATCCACTACAGCCCGGAACCTTCTCGAAAACTGCAGGCACGGTCTGCGCTGAGAATCGTGTGGTGTTTTGGGACGATAACAAAAACTTGGGACATGGAACGTCCCCCTCTGAAAAAAGGCATTGTCCCCGATGCTTTAACTAAAGATGAAGGTACAACAATAATGCAAGAAAGTACAATGAATAAATTACGATACAACAATAATACAAAAAAAAAACACTGTTCAGTTTGTTAACGCGCATGAAACGGCTTGAGGCGCGCGACATGGACGACTTCAGGTTGCAATCTACATCGTTGAGAGTTCGTGATGCCGTCGGGGACAACCTCATAATCAAGTGGGCCGAGACGTCGAACCACCCTGTACGGTCCGAAGTACCGTCGCAGAAGCTTTTCACTTTGTCCACGTCGGCGTATCGGCGTCCACACCCAAACACGTTCACCGGGCGCGCCGTCTTTCGGTACCAAGGGTACCGTTTTATCCATTGCCTCCTCAGAGGCACTGGATGCTGGCACATGCGAGCTGGTGGTTTGGATTTTAGGCCTCGCCTGGTGAGGGGAGGCCTTGAGGCCAGAGGACCCTGGAGTCTCCGGCATCAATTTGCTTGGAGGCGGAGTAGACTGAACTACTGCCGCCTTGGGGGCAGGCGCCACAGCCGATGGCTCGCTCTGCACTGGCCGAAGGGGTGGCGAGGGCTGGTGCTTCGTTGCCCCCTGACGCGCCGCATCAGCATATGTTATGCCGTAAAATGGCGACACTCTTCGTCTTGCTTCTTTGAATGCAATATTTTCTTTGACTTTAAGAGTTATTATTTTTTTTCTTTCTTCCAGTTAGGGCACGAACGTGAATATGCGGCGTGTTCCCCGTCACAATTCACGCAGTGAGGCGTAGTAACACAGTTATCAGATGGGTGGCCGTGACTACCACATCTTGCACAAGTTTACTGACCCCGGCAGTTCTGCGAGCCATGAGCAAATCGTTGACATTTATAACACCGTCTTGGATTGGGAATGTAGGGACGGACAGAGAGTTTGATGTAGCCTGTGTCTATAGATGAAGGCAGTGTGCTAGATGCGAAAGTGAGTATTAAATGTTAGGTAGGTATTTCTTTGTTGTCGCGTCTGATGATGATTCGTTTCACATTTATGACATTTTGCTCTTTCCACCCTCCAAGCACTTCCTGTTCAGACAATTCAAGAAGGTCTGCTTCTGAAACAACTCCGCGTGTGGTTTTCATTGATCTATGAGGTGAAACAGATACTGGGATATCACCAAATGCTACGAGACTGCCAAGTTTTTCATAGTGATGTTTTTCAGGCAGCTCAAGGGGAAGGTCTCTACTAGCCATCTTTGTAACCTTGTATCCTGGGCCAAAGACCTCAGTCACAGATTTCGCAACAAGAAATGGAGATATGGCTCTGGCTTGTTTTGTTTGATTTTCGCTGTGCACAACATGGAATTTTGGAAAGCATTGTCTGGGTTGGCTAAAAATCGATAATTCATCAGTGCGTCGCCTCTTAAGCGGAAGACGATCTAGGAGACGGGGAAATGCAGGTGTTCTCATACTAGTGTACTTTTTTTTCAGCAGCAATGGCGACCACCCACCATGGAGTCCAACCAGGGGACGCTCAAGCACTTAATAGCTTAAGGCTGCAGACGCCAGCCGTACATTGCCACTATAACCAAATATAACTACTCAAAGTTGAGTAATTACACAAGGTTAACCCTTGCCACCAGGCAAATTGGAAGTAAACAGAAGAGAGAAGTAGACAGGACAAACTAAAAAAGAGAGATAAAGACGAAGTTGTAGGGAGAGAGATAGGAAAAGGTGACTGCCGATTTCCCTGGGTGGGTCAGCCCAGGGGTGCCGCTCTAGCAAAAATTCCGATAGAAAAACTGATAGGCTATCAGGTTATTGACAGTAGTATCAGTCTATAGGTGTATCAGTCTATGAGTGTACCAGTCTATGAGTGTATCAGTCTATCAGTGTACCAGTCTATCAGTGTACCAGTCTATCAGTGTACCAGTACTCGTGTGCCAGCCTATAAGTGTAGCATTCTACTCTGATAGGTCCACAAGCGAATTGGTGCTTAGCCAACTGGCAGGTGCACCGCTACATCAGAGCAAGCAGAACACAATTATGAACACAGAAATCAAACAAAATATTTTATTTGATGTGCCATTCCTTGGTTAATCTTTTGATTTCATAAAGTCAATAATTTGTTTGCCAAAGCTTATTGAGGAGCTTCTTCATTTGTTCAACCTTTCCAATCAGAACGGTGTGCTTCGAAAAAATGGTTGAAGAAATCTGCATGATCAAAAACAAAGCAAGTTACAGGCACTTGTTAAGCGACAATTATGTGCACTCTAAATAGAGGAGTCAATATGACAAGGAAATAAGTAGGAGTGCTACCAGTCTGCTTCTCTAATATTGATTAAAATTAGTTTGTGGATTCTTGCATAAAAGTACCCAGCTCCAGTAGGCAAAAGCACACTTGAAGCTTTAGTAAATAATTATAACACAAGTTATTATAACACAAGTCGGCAGTGAAACCTCGGCTGATTACGTGCAAAAATTGAGCCACCAGTAACTTCCATGAATTTCGGTCAGATTGCAAAATTTCACCTACCTGAAAATACAGCATATGTTTCTTTCTCCTAGGGAGATTTCGCCTCCCCTTAAGACCGATTGGAGGCTGCACCAGTAACACTTCTACCGACTTGGCCTGCTGTATGAAAAATGGTAACGGCCGCCTCACGAACAAAATGGGTCTGTCTTTTTAAGCCCATGGGGTGATTGTACAACCTCTTGGGAACGGCAATTCCTTTGCTCCGATGCACCTATAAAACAATTCAAAGATGATGTGCACACATTAGTTTGTCAATGCACATTTTCCCATTAAAGCAAAACAATATATCTTCAAGACAAAGCATACTAGAGGTTTATAATACCTCTCTGTCAGTGGGCACATAATTGATAAGTGGTGCAGCCTCCCTCACACTTGAGTGGGCTACTTCAGGGCTGTCCGTGGTCGCTGTGGTGGTTCCAGCGTAGCAGCACATAGTG